GCATACAAAACCTGAGTGTGGTCATTCACTTAACCCCACCCGGCCAACAAGGTGAATTTTGCAAATTCACCTTAAGGTTGTCAGGGGACCCCTCAGCTAGTTCTCGAGAACTCGCAGGGGTAGGGATATCTTTGAGTGTTACGGCAGAAAAATCACTTCTTGACTGGATCCCAGTAGATAGTCGTATGTGTGCAGTCCGTCTGAACGGATCCGTTAGAAGAAGGAAAGACGGTGTTACCCGTCGTTATCTTTTCATAGTCTCAGTTTGCATCCCAACCAACTGCAGTTGGGGTGAATTAAAGGATGGTTTCTACCAGAAACTGTCTAGTTTACTGCAAAAACCTCAGATACCGTTGTTTTAGCAGGTGACTTCAATGCCCAAGTAGGGAAGTTGTGACAGACTGAGAAGTATATTGTTAGTACCTACGGAGTTTCCTGCCGACGAACCGACAACGGTGATCGTCTTCTACCGTTCTGTTCAGATGATCGTCTGTTCCTAGTGAGCACTAACTTTAGGCACAAAGAGAGACATTGCCTAACGTGATGACCTCCATCAGCAAATCAAAGCTGGATTCAAATAGACCACGAAGCGATAGGGTATCGTTGGTGAGGGTCAGTAGAAGACTGCTGCTCCTTTCGGGACACGTGCGTAGACTCCGATCACGCCCTGCTTCGCTCACGTTTATGCTTAAGTCTAAATCAACAAAATTATTATCAGCGAAGCAGCTACGTCTCCAACTGGATTGAGCCTCTGAGTTCCTATTTAAAGAAGAACTAGCAAGACGAGTATCTGAGGTCGACAGCAGGACTCCTGAAGAAGTCTGGCACAACATACAGTTAGCTGTAGACATGGCTGTAAAAGCTATTGATAACCTGAGACCTAAAGTTAGTAAGAGCCATTGAATCTCTACCGCCTCATCCGAACTGATTGACACGAGAAGACTGATTCCAGCGAGCTCCGGTTATGATGAGGAGCCAAAGCTACTCAAGCGCAAACTAACAAGAAGCCTTCCTAACGACCGTAAACAGTGATGGGTGACAAAAGCTAAGGAGATGGAAAAGACATTGGCGATTGGTAACACCAGACAACTATTTAAACTTATCAGGGAAACAGGTGGGAAAAGGCAAACGATAAGTAAAACAATCTCTGAGAAAAATGGCACCATAATTAGCTCCCAGGATAGATGACTAGAACGTTAGAAGGAACACTTTGATGAGCAATTTAATTGGCCCACAGCCACAGTCAGCTTACCGATGAGCATGCAACACCTCCCTGAATGGGATATAGACACAGGTCCTCCGTCCCTAACTGAGGTTACTAAGAATGTCACTAGTCTGAAACTAGGCAAAGCTACGAGACCCGATGAAATGACTCCAGAGGTGTTTAAGGATAACGGAGACAGTTTACTGTCTGCTTTAATTAAGGTACTAGCCAGCGTCTGGGAATCAAAGGAAGTCCCGTCGGGTTGATGTAAGTCATTGATTATCCCAATATACAAAAAGTGAGACAAGTCTTCCTGTGGTAATCACAGGTGGATTAGCTTGACTAATATGGTATCAAAAGTTCTAGGCTCAATAATAATGAGTAGACTAAGTGGTGTTCGGGAGGTACAAACACGAGGAAATCAGACAGGCTTTAAACTAGGAAGAGGGTGTATTGATCATATCTTGACCCTTCGACAGATTCTGGAACATAGGCATACTTACCGGCGTCCAACGATCGTTACATTCTTTTACCTAAAGGCGGCATTCGATTCTGTGGACCGAGAGGTACTATGGCCATACTTGGCTGTAAAGGAAATGCCGAGAAAATATGTTGCACTGATGCAGCCAGATGAAAGCTTACGGCGAGTTGTCATCTGAAGTGGTGACAACTAGTAGTGTCCATCAGGGATGCCCACTATCCCCATTTTTATTTAATTTCATCATAGATGTACTAATGGAATTAACCCTAACTGCTGACTTCAGCAACTCAGGGATTGTCTTGTTGCCAGGGGATAATCTCGTTTACTTAGGATATGCAGATGATATAGCCCTTCTAGGTGAGAACGCTGACAAAATCTCGAGTCTTCTGAACACCTTGAGCAGAAATCTTCGAATGTTTGGCATGCGATTTGCTCCCGTCAAGTGGAATCCACAACAATTAGTTTATGCCAGCCACGTAGGGAAGTGTAGACTTCCTGGTTGTGGTCTCCGGGATGGTAAGAATCAATGGCTGCTAGCGCAGATGTATCCACTCCTTGTGGCTTATAATAACCAATGAAACTATATTGCTTTTCGTTATTACTATTCCTTTTGTCTCATATCCCTGTGTACTGTCTGTATTTTGCATTTCTTCTACTTTCTTCTCGTACTTTGTGTGCTACATGGAGTGTGGCGATCTGAACCGCTGCGCATCGGTGCAAAGTTCTACGTAGAAACCGGTTAGGCAGTCAGCCCATACTGTACCGAGTCTGTGTTCAGTATTGCAAAGAAATAATTAAACAGTAGTGAATTTATTAAAATGAAAGAATACAAAACAAGTTAATTTTTACGGTTATTTTTTATAAACAACTGCAATACTGATGATATATCATAGTCTTAAATATTCCAATTTGAATGAGCGCTTCAAGCCCACAAATAAAAAGAAGACATTTCTGGCGCAATGGGTCGCATATACTAGCAAAACAATCATGAAAAGACAATTTCGATGTGTGAAACTTTAAGAAACACTGCCTAGATATGACTATAAGGCAACATTCATTTACTGCTAAAGACTGAGAAGAACGCTGAAACCTTAGAAGCATCTCTATAGCTGTTGGATTTTCTGGAATAGTGTTGCCAGTCTTAGTCTTACATCTTACTTTTCCTCCTTTTTTACGACTTTAGGCTATTAAATTAGTGAATGAACTAAGTAAGATTTACAAACAAATGCATCAGTTCATAATTTAATGTCAAGTGCGTAAGTATAAACACGTGAATGAACATAGCAAGTGGAATGTATCGCTACAATAAGCGTCGTTGTTTAGGATAAGCTAATAAATCCACTCCAAATGCATACATGTTGAATAGTATACCTATATTTTTCATATTTTATCGAATTTCCTCTATATTATATTTATGAAAAGTAGTTTAAAATTGGTCACGTGTTTAAAGAAAGTAATGTGATTTTTTCTCTCCCTTTGTTTATGGTAGTCATCTGATCACTTCAATATTTATTTTTAGTTGAATAAATGTTATTAAGGTTATAATTTCTAGAACTTATCATTAAAGCAGTTAATCAATAAGAAGTTTTGCTAATGCTTGAATTCACATGATGGTTACAATAATAATATTTCATGTTAGAGATATTCGTGTTTACAGATATATATATATATATATATATATATATATATATATATATATTTAAGCAGAGGGCTACACCTGTTGTAGAATAGCTGGTATTACTCATATGCTCAAAGCTGTGTAAATGAAGCAGAGTTCGAGTTAAAATCGAGTTTTCTCGTTCAGTACATGTTAACTCCTCTACGATTCAGTGAATCATTATTACAATTAAAATAGTAAATGTCATCAACGAGATAACTGGTACACTGCTCTCCCCAAATAATTTTACTATATTATTATTATTCCCTTAGGTTCCCAGGGGAACATACGGCCTTAGCAGCCGATTTCAATTTCACCCTGTTCTTTGCATTCTTCTTCCACCTCCTCACACAATCTCTCCTCCATGTGACCCTTGTCGCTCAACTCGTCGTTTATACATATATATATATATATATATATATATATATATATATATATATATATATATATATAAATTATAACTCTTTTATAATGATGTACTCACAGAAAACTAAACACTTAACAAACAAAGCTTTGTATTAGAATAAAAATTTTCGATGAAACAACACGATATGGTGTACATTAGATATTTAAGAGGGAGAAAAGAAGTTTTTGTGTCACTTAGTGCCTGCTTGTTATTAATAAAGGCGTCTTTAGCCCTAATAAAAACCAGACGACAGATTAAAGACATACTGACCCAACTGTTCCACTGTAAATACTACTTATGTTTGACAAAATATATAACTGCATTAGTTGCAATTTATTTGTCTCATGCACTTTAAGCAGGTAACGAAAGAAGTATTTTATCCTTTCTCTCTGCAGTTATAAATATATTCCGATTGGAATAGAAGGCTTAAAGCTTTGAGGTGTCAGTAGATACGGTGTTTGTTTTTTCACATCCAACCTTCCCTCTTTTTCCAGCTCACTTCTTACTAGGTGAGGCTTATGAAGAGTATCAGCAGAGAACGTATTCGCAAGAGGTTTTTTGTCGTCTTAGCATCTTAGTGCTCAAACATCTCTGTTAAACTGATAAAACAATCCCTTTCCTTTTGGTACAAGTAAACTCTTGTTTTAAACTCGAATTTCTTATTTCTCTTTAGTCTTAATATCAATGTTATTTTTGGATGTCTAAAAAGCGCATCCGTGTTGATGTGGTATGTATATGCCATTTCGTTGAAAGCTTTGGTGTTGAGTCTGATAAGGACATTGTAGTATATTGTTATATTATAATGCATTATCACAGATTGGTATGCATTTATGCGTAGTTTGTAGTTCACTAGTATGAATTGTTGTTTAAATTCTGTTGTAATCCCTTCTTGTATTTTTGAACTTATTTCGAAATGTTTTTTATGAAATAATAATTTTTATTACGTATAGACTTAAGTTAGCCAATAATTGAAAGTCAGTAGGAAAAAAGGCACTTGACATTTGTTTCGGTCTATTTCAATATCCATCAACAGTGGAAAACCACAATCGATTGGAAGACTGAACGTTTTGGTGACCATTAGATCTCATGGATCTTAGTATGTTCTAATAATCAATTGATTTTTAAACTCATATCCTTTCAAATTAAAAATTCTTTTGTAATAATTTTGATTTTTTTTGTTTGTTTTTATAATTTTTGCAAGTTAGACACCAATCTCATCATTTATTCATTCTTTCTTCATGTACAATTTCAGGTTGCTCGTTGTCAATCATCGTCCAAGAGTTTATCAGGTTATTCATCAGTCGTAAGTACCACGTCTAAATCTAAACTAATTTCTTTTAACAACACAACTACAACTACCACAATATCCTCTTCTCCACACAGATAGTAAAGACATAGATTATCTTGGTACATTTAAGGAGAAGAGCAACAACAGATATAATAATACAATTCCCTGACATACTGCACAATTACGCATTCTTCCAATAGATTCTTGTTCATTGGTTCGTTTGTTTGTTCCTTTTTAAATTCAGATTTTTCTTTGTTTCTTGTCTTATAAACTATTCGCGAAAATAATATCATCATTGTCGTCATTATTTTCTCAGTTCTCCACCTCGCTGTATTTATCCTTATCGAATAAAAAGGATGATGTTGCTGAATTTCTTCTCCGTGTGTTCTGTTTGTTTACCTGTGTTTCAGTCATCACTTTCATAACTAACTATTAAGTTCTTTTTTTAAATATATTTATTCCATTTTGTTTTTGTTTCACAAAATATCAAATAGTGATCTCAATTTGTTTGTTTTCTCTGTTTGGTAATCAATCAGTTTAATTTTTCTGGTATGTTTCGTTTTATCAACTGAACTAGTTTATAATCCAGCCAAGTAACAAATAGTTTATTCTCAAATTATAAAGTTACATATAAAATTCTGGCAATTTATTTCTCACAAATTTCTCGATTTGTGTGGCGAAGTTAAATTATAGCAGCCACAGCCCCCATCTCCCCCAATCGACCTTACCACTGACCGACTGAATTAAGGAGTAATAAAAGTCAAAGAATCGCCTTTACAAATGACTATAGATCGTGGTATTCTGAGATCCGTTTTTTCTTCTGAATGTACTCTTTGAGATACTGCGAAATCCCAATCCTGCCGAAAAACCAGTTATTCCCTATATATGCATGTTTTGTAACTCCAACTATAATCCATTATTGATACAGTAAGGAAATATTTTCATCTTCCTGAAACTCGTTAAGCGAATCCAGAAATAGAAGATAATTTGATTTGGTTATACCGTATGCAACTGTAACGGGTTTGTCGATGGTCATGTACGAGGTTGATTGGCATAGTCTGACTTTACCACTTACGATAGCTTCAGCAACTTTAAAACCAGTTTAGTGTATAGAACGAATATTTCAACTATTTCATCATGTTTAATTGGTTGACATGTGGATTCATAGAGAATAAACAATATATTTTGACGTATACAATGGTTCAGTGTGACGTCATTACAATTCAATCATTTACAGGGAATCCAAGGTTCATTGATTGATCATCATTAGGAGGAGTAATCAATGTCAAGTATCTAATCTCTTCGCGTTGGTACTAATTGTATTTTTTGTTATCAAACCTAGGTCTAATGCTTGTTATTACCAGTCATCAGGACTTCCATCGTACTGATTGTCTCTTCAACAACCTGACATTAATCTAAGCTTCATCTGAATAATAATAATAATACTTTCTATGAGAATGGCTGTGAATAATAAATATGTCAACACACACACACACACATTTCATCAGATTGATCAGCAGGCTTTCCATAGTAGATTCACTGCACATGACTAATCAGCAAATTAAAATTAGTCAGCATTTCTTTTTTTTAAAGTTATTATAAAAATGTAGTTGCAGTTTATTGTAACAAAACAGGAAGTTAAGATGCTGCATAAAGTTTTGGTATTTCTTAATTTGAATACGATGATTTCTACTCAACACTCTGTAGTCTTCTGCAAAAAATGATATAGGTGCGTATGTTATCGTAGTGCGCTAACAATATGTAGCTGTAGGAAGACTTGATCAGGCTGGAAGATGTTCATTTGGCACTTTTGACATAATCAGTAAAGACTGTTTATCGATATTATTCTTGGATAACTATTTTCTGGTTAGCATCAAACATTTAAGAACCAGATGAAAGATAATAGGAACATGATAAGTTTATCAGTGTTGAAGAATTCTAGTAATCTCTGTTTGATATTTCTGTAAGTATTACCAGTAGTGTGTAGAAGAAAATGATGAATGATCAGTGGACTGGGACAAGTTCATCTCATTGGATAAAAGAAACAATTTATTTTGTTGGAATGTATGTCGCATATTTCTAAACTGATGCCTTATATCAAATAGTGTAGGGTCACGGTAGGAGGCTAAAGGTTCCAGGAATCCAGGATGTTTATGACTGTTAGTCTTAATTCCACAAAATAGTTTCGGTGTAGTGATAACATCTCTGATGGCACCATCGGATGATAGATAAAAATGTCCATGGTACTAGTATTCTTCTCAGCACTATAGATTCATCTATAAAACTGATTTTCCCTCACCACTTACGATCTTGCAGTCTTATTGGTTGTTGATTGTTTTAATTTGTCAATATAATTAGTGTCTCTCATGGTCACTTAAACCATATATATACCCAAGCGCTGTCACTCAGTTTCACTGTTGATACGGGACAGTAAAAGCTCTCCACGTCAATAGCCAGACTTCTCTTCTTGCTTCGCATTTTTGGTGGTATCGTATCGTGTTGTTATTGTTGCTTATAGTGGTTAGAACAATAAAATTCCTAATCGACTAGATAGGAAATTCGTTAACGCAATTACCAGGTGTATTAACGGTCATACACAGTGCTAGTGGGTGGTGATTAGGGCAAAACCGAGATTCAGGTTTGCTCTGCTTAATTATACTCTTAACTCACAAATTGTTTTTGTTTTTTTTGTTTAAGATTGTTTTCAAACTTTTATCATTCTCTCTTTATGGTTGGTTGTCTCTAGAGAATGTTCCCTGAAAACATTATCATATTTACTACTACAATTTTGAAAGCTTCATTTTAGTAACATTAACTAATTAGTGAGTCAGTATTATTTATGTCCACGTTTAGTTAACTGTGAGTAGTATATTTTATTATCGGAAAATTTCAATGCTTTTTTCAGAGGTTTGCCAATCGAAGTGAGAAGGCAGAGGAAATCAGTTAACTCCTTCCAACCTCCATGCGTGTTTATCAGTACACAATTGAGGATATTTAAATTCATTACACTTTGCTACTTCCCTTCGCTTATCGCCTTTCGTTCAATAAGCCGGTTATAACAGCTTCCTGTATACTTTTCATTATAACTTTGTATTTATTCACATGTATATTGAAGCTTACTTGTAATAATATTCAAAAAAATAAATTTTTTCATTTATGTTGGTATTATCATAAAATGATAACTTCTTTCTACCTCAGCTCCTTCTAGATGTTCCTTTTTTCGCGTTACTGTTGCTTATTTTCGTGGCTGAGTTGAAAATAAAGAGAATTTATTTTGAGAAAACATTATTTCATTGAAAGTTAAAGTGGAAAATATTAATCTAGGTTATTTGCATTAACTCTGGTATTCAAGTTATCACTTTCATTCATTATTACTGTTACTATTGTTTTCTCGTTAAGTTTATTTTCTGCAACTGTGTAGTGACTTGTTGTGTCAACTTCTTCTCCTTCCTTACACTTGTATATCATCTCTGAAGTTACATATCAGCCTGTTATTTATTGTGTCATCTTCAAACGAGTAGTATTCTAAAGTGTCTACTTAAGTGTGTGTGTGTGTGTCTTCGTTTTTCGCAAAAGAGTAATAGAATTGATGTGAAGTTGACTGGTATTGTTGGTCTAACTTGACATGGAAATTGCATCTGCCTGTAAAGACCAAATCTATTCAGCATAAGAAGTAAATAACATGTGAAGATAATTCCCGAGTATTTCTGTAGATTTCCTTTAAAGAGATGCATGTGGAGGAGCTTTGAGATCATCAGAAAAAGTACACAATAAAGTAAGTGAAAATAATTAACAAAACGGACTAGCCTACTTCAACATATCGATGTCTAATCCTTTGAACTGCATAAAACCATGACTAAAAGTCGTTATAATGTGTATCTTTAAGTAATTTGGCATTTTCTCGACGAAACACTATTTATTTCAACTATTTGTAAACTGGCCGTAAATTACGGATAAGGACACCATCATTTACTGTTTATGCTAAAGACGCCTTATTCCATCAACTTTTAGCAGGATTACAAGCGTAAAATTGTGTAAAACAACGAATAATTACCTAATTTTGAGGTTTTTTCAATAAATATAGCCTGTAGACATCAGCTGATCAAATGACCTGCGTCCGTATACAGGCTGCCTGGTGAAGGAAAAAGCTGCGTCTAGGTTGTGTCCTTGTTCAATCTCACGTAACAACCACGATTTTCTTTTTACTATTTTTCAGTGAACGTATGATTTAATGCGTTTTCCGACCACCACGACTGCTACCTGGAGGGCTCATGATTTAGACCAGCAGCTGGCCTGAAATAAGGATATAATCCAGTTTTGATAACTTTCCACTTGGACTCTAAAAAGTGTTGTGTTAATCCTGCATTTCTGTTGGTGTGTAGCAGATTTCGACAGGATTTTCCTTGAGCATAACCTGAGGCAAGGTTAAGGGATGGGACATTGAAGTCCTCAGCTATAGGGATTTGGTTATAGCCCAAGTGATGATGCTGAGAAGTAACTGGTTGTGTTCGGCTCTACAGGAGAGTGATCAACAATTGCCACCCAGTAAATGCTTGGTGTGGCCTACGGTGAAACGGTACTTTATGGAGACTGGGAGTTCGGTAAATAGTGGTCCCGTTGTTTGTGGCCATCTAAGCTGCTTGTTAGCGTATATGGCTATCCACGCTCTTGTTATTCCTGTCTCACCTGACTAGTAGGGTGCTTACAGAATGTAAGCATTGGAACAAGACCCATTTAGACTTCCCCCAGTCAGAAATCAGACTCTACCGTAAGTACAGTAATACAGGTGATCACCAAAGGAATAAAAGTAAATCAGCCTACGACGAGTAAGAAGCTAACCACGCTACTCAGGCAGAATTATTATTTTTTATTATAGCTTGATTCTACAGCGTATTATTGGTACAAGTATGGGATTTTCAGCATGTGATATCGGTAGCCCAAATTTTGCAGGCTGACCAGTTGATATCAGGTGTACATCGGCTGGGGATCGAACCCCTAACCATTTACATGGTCGGCGAGAGTCTTAGCCTCTGTGCCACCGACGCATTCAGAGTGAACGCCTACGGAACTTTGACTTGACGAGAGAACGGTGGAAGCTGGTTGTAGCAATACCTCAGCCGTGGGATGATGCAAGAATGTCACCAGGTAGTGCATGCAGGAGTAGCCAGAACAACCGAAGTCTTGAGACAAATCGTGTACTGGCCAGGTATGGGAGGAGATGTGGTAAGATATGTACTTGTATGTCCTTAGTGCCGGTTGATGAATGGAGATGGGTTCATACAACCACCCCTGCAGTCAATTCCAGTTACGTCAGTAGGTGACTTGTTGTTCGTAGGTTTGATGGGTACTTTCCGCAGACATCCAGTGGCAATCAGTACGTCTTGGTGATGACGGAACAGGCTACAAAATGAGTAGACGCCATCGCGATCCCTAGTCAACACGCGAAAACCGTGACTGACGCAGCAGTTAGACACATCGTTGCAGACCATGGTGTGCCAAAGACAGTATTGACAGATCAAAGCTCTTGTTTTGAAAGCTAAGAATCCACTTCCCGTTTGCCATAGGTGGGTATCAAGAAGATCAGAACAACACCATATCATCCGAAAATGAATGTTCTGATAGAGAGAAATAACCGTACGTTGAAGGAGTGTCTGGCATCAAAGAGAGGTAACTGAGAGACGGGGCTTCCATTGATTCTGCTAACACATGTCGCGTTCACCCCGGAAACAACAAAGAAGTCATCAATTCAGTTAATGTGTGGGAGTAAACAACGACTACCAATATACAGCGCAAACTGGACCAGCCATCGAGAGTGAAACAAGGCGAGGCTGCGAACTGAACGGAAAGACGCCGTCAGGAATGTGAGGCGCAAAGAGAGGAAAGACGCCATGAAATCAGAACAGGGAGTGAAGATGCGATGCAGAACCTTTGAGGTTGGCGATCAACTAAAGTGTGGAGAAAGTAAGGACGCGGTTATATGTGAGCTAGGCTCATGGAAATTCCTCCCGAAGTGGAACGGATCATGTGCTATCATCGAGAGACGCGGTCCCCTTTATACCGTCAAAAGGGGAAATGGGAGGAAACGGGTCAACATCAGCCAACTGCAGAAATGGTTTCAGTCGGATAAGGAAGCCTGAACCAAGGTACAACAGTAAGAGGTAGAACCAAGAAGGTCGGAACAGCTCCGTTTGAAACCATTTAATGGGGAAACGAGTGTGGCGAGTGCTGCTGATAAGATTTATTAATAGTATATAGATACGTTCGTTGGCATAAAGATATCAAACAGCAGGGAGATACATTTGATTTCAGAGAAGGTAAAGGATGCAGTGTTGTAGAGGTGCATGGGAGACGTGTGTAGCGGTAAATAATTCCCCAAAATTATTGACCACAGCAATCATCACTGAACAGTGGATGCTGACCCTCACTGTTTAAGTCGACTTGTTTAGCTGAATGCTTCCGGTCAACCATCCATGCCATTTGGTACTCCGTCGTGTCACGTTTGTGCACGATCACTAGCCAGCTAAGCATTCACTTCAGTTCACGGTTTGGTCCCGAAATATATTTCGTACTTCGGACGATCATTTGTGGCGTTTTGCTTTGTGTTTGGTATACGAGAAACGAATACTATAGAAGTTGTTGGTATAAGATCTTGCGTTAGTATACTCCGTACAATTCGTGAACGTCAATACCGTCAGCCTTTAAACGTGCAACACAATATGAAGGCCGTTAGTACCACAACACGAAGATCTGTGAGAATGGTGCGTTGAAGATAAGGTATACATAATTCGGCTAAATAGAGATACCAATTTCCAAAAAAAAAACATTCCTTTACTATGTCTTCGTCTTCTTCCGTTTCTATGTGACCTCAGCTCTGAATAGATGACACTTAGTGGACTGAACCGTGAGTTCCACCTCCTTCAAAGATCCCAAGACTATGCGCAGCCCTCAGAGATATTCCTCGATTGTGTGACTGAACACAATGATATAGTCTAAACATGCCACGCAAACCTTTTGGACTAGCCGCCTAAGTACCGTGTGCAATAGCCTTTTAAATCTTGCTGGATCATTACTTAGGCGGAATGATATGGTCTAGAACCCACATAAACCGGTAGGTATAGTAAAGATAATCTTAGACCAGTCAAGAATGTACACTTCAACCCGTCAATGACCAGAAGTTAGTTCATAACGCTTCTAAAATTTCTTCTATTCATGACAATGGGTAAACATCTTTCCGTGTCACTTCATTTAATTCCCTGTAATCAACACAAAAATGGAGGGATCCGGTTTTCTTTTTAACTAGCACTATAGGAGAAACCCACGGTGAATTTGATGGCCTAATTACGTAGAGAGGAATAAATATATTATTGATAATAATCTTTTTCTGCAACCTCTCCTCAATCATGACTCCAAGCGGAACTTAAACAGAACTTGGTAAGGTGCTTGCCTGTGTGTGCGTCGGTGGCACAGTGGTCAGGACTCTCGCCGACCATGCACATGGTCCGGGGTTCGATCCCCTGCCAACGCATACCCGATATCTATGGTCGGCCTGCAAAATTTGGGCTATCGATATCCATGCTGAAAATTCTATACTTGTACTGAAAATACGGTGTGGAATCAAGCTGTAATCATGAAATTTAAAAAAAATTTGGCACACAACTTCCATTGTCAATATGGTGGTTTATAGCTGTTGTTCTCCCTAGATCACTCGATGGCCACACGACTGCCTCGGAAAAATGTGACACTAGCTGACGTATGGCCTATTTGTGCTATGCTATCATTTTTTCCACCAAAAATTGTACCAACTACACTCACACTCAACTGCAACTATATGGTATTACTGTCTAACCGTAACCGTAACATAGAACCTGACAGAGTGGTCGCTTGAGATTCGCAGTAGATTGAGGCCCCGCAGTTCAAAAATAAGT